CTGGTCTAGAACTTTGTATTATCCCAAGTAATCCCCAGTCCTGACTGAAATTTGTGATTTTGCTATTTTCTGAGAACAGAAGCATAAGCTATGTAAGTATTGGCCTGGGAAGTGACACAAAATGGATATCATTCTTCTGCCAGCCCCACAAAACCCCATAGTGGCTCTGAAAAGGGCCTTTGTCATCCTATGGTATATATAAGCCATACTGGTAGGAACAATGAAGACAGCCATTCTGAGGATAATTTGAACTGTGGGGGTGAAGCACAAGAAGTCTCAGAGGAGAAGAATTTAATGTATGGTCTCAAGATTGTTCCTGTGATATTGGTGAAGAACGTGGCTGCTTTTTGCCCCTGTCCAAAAAGTCTACTTGAGTATAAATTGTAGAGTTTTGGATTAATTGCATTTGCAGAACATATATCAAAGCAGCTTAGTGTTGAATGTGCTATGTGGGTATGAGTTCCCATTCTTATTCAGATCTATAATAAAAAGTAGCAAGCTGAGCGAGCCAGAATACAAAATATACAGTTTGAGGAGAAAAGGAACACAGAAAGTGTAAATGGATTAAAGAAAATTGTGATGCTAAATGGAATAAAGTATGTGGTAACCACAGAGCAAGATCCCTCCCAGCTAAGCTTCCCAGTTTGTGAGAGGGAATTAAAGAAAAGTGAAAATGAATTTAAGAAAAGCTTAGGCACAGGTGTGGTAGTGCACACCCTTGATCCCAGCATTCATAAGGCAGAGGCAAAGGGATCTCTGAATTCAAGGCCAGCCTACTCTACATAGAGAATTCCAGGACAGCCAAACTTACACAGTGAAGGAAACCATCAAAACAGAAAGCTGGTGAAAATGTATTTGAATATTTGAATGAGGGGGCCATGTTCCAGCCCCAGCAAGCAGCAGAATGTGGCAGCTTTGGCCATGTAGTTCTGGATTTAGAGTTCAGTGTACAAGAAAGGGGTTATTGTTTCTCCCTCTGTGACTAAGAAAAGCCACTGAGTATAGGCATATATCATGTGTCACTGCATGGAGGCTCAGGGAAGTCATTGTGTGGAGCTGTGAAGCCAAAGCTTGGATTACCCTTCAGACCCAAGATGCTAGAGATGCCAAAGTTGTGGGACACCTGCTGGGGAAAGCTGCTAAAAGGGAGGGCAACCCACTCAAAAGGAAGAATGTTTGACATTTAATAAAGCTGAAAGGAGTTGGAGATCTGAAGAGAGGTTTGACACCAGACATGGAGATGCAGAGTTTAGAGTTTGCCCAGTTGGTTTTCAGTCTTGTTTCAGCCCAGTATTTCCTCACTATGATCCCTCTCCTCTCTTTTGGAATGGTGATGTGCATTCTATACCAATGTATATGGGAAGTGTGTGATCTACTTTTTAATTTGATTTTTATTAGGGGTATGGCAGTTTGAATGTATTTGGCCCCCATAGCATCATAGGGAGTGGCACTATTAGGAGGTGTGGCCTTGTAGGAGTGGGCATGGTCTTAATGGAGGAAGTGTGTCACTGTGGAAGTGGGCTTGAGCTCTCATATGTGCTCAAGATACCTCCAAGTGTCTCAGTCCAGTTCCTGTTGCCTTTTGATGAAGATGTAGGCAGCACAATGTCTGCCTTCATACGCTCATACTCCTTACCATGGTGATAATGGACTGAACCTCTGAACTTTAAGCAGGCCACCACAATTAATTTTTTTTTGTAAGAGATGTCATTGTAATGGTGTCTCTTCACAGCAATAGAAACCTACCTAAGACAGGGGGATACACTTAAGAGGTTGCCATGAAACTCTCAAGAGATTTGGACATTTAAATGGATTTGAGACTGTTTTGAACTGGAAGGATTTTGAAAATAGTTTAAATGCATTTTGTATTATCATATGGCTACAAGCCTATGGGTGTCAGGTAGTGGAATGTTGTGGTTAGAATGAAAATGTTCCACATAGAATCATATAGAGTGGCATTATTGGAGGTATGGCCTTGTTAGAGGAAATACTTCACTGGGGGCAAGTTTTCAGGTTTCAGGAGCTCTTGCCAGACCTGTGCTACTCTCTCTTCCTGCTGTCTGCCAACCCAGATATATAACTCTTGCTTTCTTCTCCAGTACCGTGTCTGCCTGCACTCAGTAATGCTTCCTTCTATGCTTCCTTCCATGATGATAATGGACTAAAAACTGAACCTGTAAGTCAATCCTGACTAAATGTTCTCTTATGAAAGAGTAGCCATGGTCATGCCATCTCTTCACAGCAATAAAACCATAAACAAGACAATAGGACAGGGACTAGGGCAAACCAAATACTGTTGTTCTTCTAAAGGAACTTAGCAACAAAATGACTCCTAATGGTACTTTGCAGTTCTTATAGATCAACAGTTTGTTCAAATAACATCAGAGAAGCTCCCTCCTTCATTAGCTGATCATAAATAGAGATCTTGTGTTTCCATGGGAAATGGGAGGGGGGCAAGAAGGGAAAGAACAAGGGAATCTGTGGCTGTTATGTAGAACTGAATGGTATTGTAAAATAAAATAAAAGGAAAAATAAATATAAATAAATAAATACAGAGATCCATGACAAGACAATGTGGAGAGAGAGAGAGAGGGAAAGAGGGAGAGAGAAAGGGGGGCTTGGAACCCTCAGTCATAAATAGGATGCCTACATCAAATTCATCCCATCAGGGCTCAGATAACTCTGGAGAAGAGGAGGCAGTAAGTATAAGAGTAAGCAGGCATGGAGGACAGCAGGGAAACAAGGCTTTATGAATAAAGGAAAGGAAACTATCAACTGAGCAAACAGACAGAACACAGAATGGGAGCAAGTTTTACCAGCTACACTTCAGACAAGGGGCTAAGATTTTACAAAATTTACTAAGATTGACAAAAATTTAATGTCAAGGAAATATAATCGCCAATCAACACACTGAAAGATGTCCTGAATAGACACAGTTGAAAAAAGAAATAAATACAAATGGCCAATAAATATTTTTAAAAGTGTTCAGTATGCCCAAATATCCTTGTAATTCAAATTAAAACTACCTTCTGATACCACCTCACCCCAGTTCGGTTGGCTGCCATCAACAAATCGGACAACAAATATTGGAGATGTCATTGAGAGAAAGCAGCCCTTATCCATATTTGGTAGGGGTGCAATCATTGTGGAAATCATTTTGGAAGTTTCTCAGAATATTAAAACTAGATCTACCATATGGCCTGGCTATCTCTCTCATGGATGTATACTCAGAGAACTCCATACCTCACCTACAGATACTTGCACCCCCATGTTTATTACTGCTTTGCTTACTATAGCAAAGAATTTGAATCAATCTAGTTGTTCATCAACAGATCAATCAACAATACATACACACACACACACACACACACACACACACACATATATATATATATATATATATATATACACCTATATATTCATTTCTAAAGAAAGAATAAAATGTGTTACAAAGTTTTCTGAAAATAGATGGAGAGGATGGATATAGAGTATATGTGCTAAGAAGGGTCACACAATTTCTTAATGGACTAAAACCATGTTTCCACGTCCTATAGAGAATCTAGCCAATGATGTGTGTGTGTGTGTGTGTGTGTGTGTGTGTGTGTGTGTGTGTGTGTGTGCACGTGCACGTGCGGGCACATGCATGTGTATTTAAAAATGTGCTTGTGGGTATAGTATACCCTATAGAAATAGAACACAAAAGGCTAAATACCTGGTGTGAGGAAGGACTAAATGCAAGCAATGAACCCGAGTTATGAAAGAAAGTATAGGTAATTATCTAGTTCTAACTGTGCCATGGACTTTTCATTTTTGCATTTGAAACAGTGCATGCAAATATATTTGTTAGAGAAATTACAATATCCGATGTGAACTTCTACAGTATCTATTCCAAATGGCCACTTTAACACAGAATCTGTAAGACAGCAATAATAAAGAAGTAAATGTATAATATTTCAAGTAATTTAGTTAGGTTTCTCAATGCTTTACAATTTCAGATTAAGCAAATACACAGTCTACATGCCAAAAATTATAGAAAATGATGTTAATATTTCATTATTCTATACACTAACTACCAGGTCATGAGGATTTAATTACTTGTTAGCAATTCAAGGGACTATTCTTTTGAATGGGTTCATTTAAAATAATAGGGCTACATTGGTTTGCTATAATCTATTTAGAGCCTTTCTAGACAAAGGTAAAAAGGACTAATCAATTCTGTAAAGTACAAACTGGACATTTGCCTTAATCTGTCAATGCAAAAAGAAGCTGTTTAGAGATCTACAACTATCCTTGGACTTCAGTGTCTGATCCTGTAAATATCTCTCACTGGCCATTAAACTTTACTCTATAATAAACACATTAGGGAGGAAATTCGATAGGAAGCATTAATTGTATTAAATTAGTAAAGTAAGTACAGTTAGCAAATGCAACAATTTAAATCTGTAAGTTACAAAAAATTTTAATTAACATTAAGTTATTCAAAATGTGAAAGACTTCTATATTTTTCAATGTTTTCTCTAAGAAAGGCCACCATAAATTAGAACTATAACATTATTTTAATATAGTGAATATAACACAAAATGGATTTTTATCAAAAGGTAAGAAACTTTTTAAAAAATAATCTACACTGTATAAGTAAATCATCCATCTTACATTTTGTTTAAAGTAATAGCTTTATATCATACAAATACTTTTTATGTTTGAGAAGTGAGTTACTGTGATAATATTTTACCAAATTCCTAATTATTGGTCTAGAATAAAACTGTAATGTATTGTTCAAAGAAAAGCCATGAGTGTCATCTACCATAGGAGTTAAACATATTAAAATATTGTTCAACAAGTTGCAGAGAAATACATCTAAATGTAACATATAATTGGAAAGAAAACATGTGTTTTTACTCGTTCACATTCTTGTCTCTAGATTTTCCCTCTAGCCAAACAGAAATTCGCATCCACATTACAGTCTCTCATGTTCAACCATACTGTACAGTTTCCACTTTCTAATTCAGAGACTTCTGTGGTAGATCCAGCATTGTTAGTTCCAAATTACATTCCTGCTGAAAATTTGTACAGGGAGTAACAAGCGCCCTGCTTCTCTTTCTGTCACTGAGCGCCCCCTGTTGGTGCTGAGCGCCCCTGCAAGGAGGTTTGTGTCTGGGCTCACACTGAAGTCCCCTCACTGTGTCTCTTGCACAGTAGTAAGTGGCAGTGTCCTCAGCCTTCAGGCTGTTCATTTGCAGGTAGAGGGTGTTTTTGGAATCATCTCTGGAGATGGTGAACCGGCCCTTCACAGACGCACTGTACTCTGCTGTGTAACCATTAGCTTTGTTTCTAATAAAACCAACCCACTCCAGTCCCTTCCCTGGAAACTGGCGGACCCAGTTCATGTAGAAATCACTAAAGGTGAATCCAGAGGTTGCACAAGAGAGTTTCAGGGAACCCCCAGGCTGTACCAATCCTCCTCCAGACTCTATGAGCTGCACCTCACACTGGACACCTGCAATAGTAGAGAATTCTGGTCAAGAAACTGTCATACACACCCACCATCTCTCTTACTCATGCCCCCACACATTCAGCATCTCCTGTTCCCATAAATGACCTTTTAAAAGAGTTACAAGGAAAACGCAGTTCAGCCACAGCTTCATGGTGAGAGGTCTGTGTTCAGTGCTGGTCACTGAATGGGGAGAGAAGGGAACTCAGGACTCTGCTAGAGCTGCAAGGTCTGGGCTGGGCTGCTTTTCATGAACAGAGGAAAGCCCAATTTGCATTTCTTCCTGTATATCACCAGTTTTAGGGTTGAAGCAATAGAGGATGCAGTTATTAGTAAGAATACAGAGTTGAAATGGTAGAAGTAACTGTGTTACAATATTGTTTATTATGTGTATGTCATAACAGTTCACTGGTTTATTGTGATTTACTCTTGTCCACAGTTCTATCTAACTCACAAATATACTAAAATATTATTTTGAAAATTTAAGGAGAATTAATATAAAGATGAATTAATGTTGAATAGAAATGTCAAAATAAAGGAAGTCTTTGGGGGACATAGTTCAGTAGTGTATGATGCACAAGGACCTAGAATTGATCCCCCTTTCTGATGAAGATACATGAAAGAAATGACTACTCTCCAGAATTAGCCTTTGATAAATGGCAAAGCACATTGAAAACCCATGTTTATGTGTAAACAGGCCATCTCTTGTAAATAAGCAAGACTTCCAGTGGACTGATTGAGACCCCAACACAACCACATAACATTTTTTTGGCTTTTTGGTAAAGAGGTTTCTCTGTGTAACAACCCTAGGTGTCCTGGAACTCACTTTGTAGACCAGGCTGGCCTCAAACTCACAGAAAACTGCCTGCCTCTGCCTCCTGAATGCTGGGATTAAAGGTGTGTGCCACCATGCCCATCTGCCACATAACCTTTGACCTACAATTTTCCCTGTCTACAAGATATGCTGGGATAAATGTGGCCCCGGAACCTTGGGGATGGCCAACCAATGGCTGGTCCATCTTAAGACCCATACCAGGGTGGGAAACCACCCCTGACTGTGCCTGGAGGGCCAGGATCCAGAGGCTGGGCAGCCCAGAGACCTAGGATATAAATAAACTTGAATGTCAAAAACCCAGTCAATGAAATGATTTCTAGTGAAACTCTCCTGTACTCATACATTGTTGCCTAGCCCAATTTTCATCAGAGAGGCTTCACCCAGCAGCTGATGGAAATAGATGTAGAGACAAACATTAGTCAGAGCTTGGAGAATCCTTTAAAAGAGGAAGAGGAAAGGAAATAGGAGCCAGAGTAAGAAAGGACACAGCTGGGCGATGGTGGCGCATGCCTTTAATCCCAGCACTTGGGAGGCAGACCCAGGTGGATCTCTGTGAGTTTGAGGCCAGCCTGGGCTACCAAGTGAGTTCCAGGAAAGGCACAAAGCTACACAGAGAAACCCTGTCTCGAAAAACAAACAAACAAAAAAGGACACAAGAAAACCCACAGAATGAACTCACATGGCTCACTGAAGCTCGCAAAGACTGAACCACCAACTAGAGAGTTTGCATGGGATGACCTGGGCCCTCTGCACATGTGTCACAGTGGTGTAACATAGTCCTCCCATGGGACAGTGGGAGCAAGGCCTGTCTCTGACTCTGTTACCTTCTTTTGAGACCCTTTTCTCCTACTGGGTTGCCTTGTCCAGCCTTGATAGGAGAGTAGATGGCTAACCTTATTGAAACTTGATATACATGGGAGACCTGCCCTTTTCTGAACAGAAAGGTGGATAAATGGATTGTAGGGAGATAGGGTGGTTGGGGAGAGGGATTGGGAAGAAAGGAGAGAGGGAGGGAAAATTTTGATTGGGGGAAATTAATTAATAAAAATAAATAATAAAAAAGAAAACCCGTCAGGCGGTGGTGGCGCACAACTTTAATCCCAGCACTCGGGAGAAACCCTGTCTCGGAAAACCAAAAAAAAAAAAAAAAAAAAAAAAAAAAAAAAAAGAAAGATAAAAGAAAACCCATGTTTATACTTTCTTGGGTATCTTAATATTTTGTTGTTCTATATTTACCATCCTTAGGCATCAACTCACATTTAATTGTGAAAACCTTAAATGAAACAGAGGTCCCATGTCTGTGACTATCAAGGAGTCTCCTACCTGGACTCTAGCCACACTTGACTGTCTTTCCATCTATCTGTCAGCATTGAAGACATGACACATACTGTTTGGGCAATAAGTCACAATGAGGAATCTTGAAATAATGATATGCTCCATGAGAAGGAAATATTGAATTATAATTTTTCATTTGAGGAATTCATTCTGTGTGAAAGACACCACCTTCATTGTGTCTTACGGATCCTGTGGATTGGGATATTAGAGCTTCTGTAGTTTTCCCAGGAAAGAAAACAAGGCTCAAAGAAATAACTACAATTCTGTATTGATTTTACTTTGGAACCATCAGGGAAAACACTATAACTCTTTAGGGTCTCTTGAGGGTTTCCTATATTTAAGGGATAACATGTTAAGTGAGAGGAAGAAAGTCATGAAGGAAGAACTGCCCTTGTTGGCTATTCTCACCTGTTCCTTGGATTCCTGCACTGAATGAAGTGTGAGAACCACAGGGTGACTTGCACATCCCCTTAGAAGGGTTGCCAAGGGTTCAACTGAATATATTAAAGTTTTCCTTTTATTTTTTTTCAAAACTTCAATATTGATTTCTACAATTACTTTACCAGTTCACCTTCCTATAAGCAATATGTAAGGGTTCCTTTTTGTTGTATCTGCACCAGATTTTCTATTTGTTTTTACAGACTACTCTTTAAATCAGATAGTGGTTGGCTACTCAAAGAACATATGTATCAGTACTGCAGCACAGTATCATGCAGTCTGGTCACCCTTGTAGATCAAAGGATTTGTATTTAGTTTTGTGTTTAGCTTTCTCTTCTGATACTATGCAGAGTACCTTTCAGTACCATGGCTACTAGTCAAGAGAGGTAAAAGCTGTAGCTAGGCACCAGCTGCACTTCTCCATGTTCAATTAGATATTTAAGTTTTGACTTCAAAAATAGAGCCTAGCCTATTGGTATTGGTGCATGCCTTTAATCCCAGCACTCAGGAGGCAGAGGCAGGCAGATGTCTGTGAGTTCGAGGCCAGTCTGGGCTAGAGAGTAAATTCCAGGAAAGGTGCCAAAGCTACAAAGAGAAACTCTGTATCGAAAAAAAAAATAGAGCCTTACCACCAGTTTTGGGGGAGCAACCACTTAAATTGCATTCCTGGGACTATTAACCTAGTCAAAAGGTGGAGGTAATAGACTGTATGTTAGAAGGAACTGCTGAGATTTTGCCAAATGCATGTGTCCAAACTCCTTTGTGAACATTTATGTTGATATTACAGTCTCAGTTTAGGTCAGAGCAACTTATATTTCTTTCTACTTGAGTGGTTCCCACCCTTCCAAATAGTGCTACCTGCTGTGCTACACAATTTCTTATGTGTGGTGACCCCCTACCCATAAAATTATTTTGTTGCTATGTCAGAAATGTAGTTTTGATAATGTGATCATGAATTATAATGTAAATTTCTGATATACAGGGTATCTGAAATGTGACCTCCAAAGTGGTTGCAATCCACAGGTTGAAAACTGCTATTCTAAAGGGTGATGGAAAATCCAGAGATTAAAAATTAGCCAAAGTGTTGAAAGTAGACATCTATGGAGAGCTAAGCACTAAATCAGACATTAGCAGCACCTCCTCCAAGGATTAAGGAACACCATGGACGATGAGATGGATAGAATGCAAGAGCCAGAATTTGGAGAGGCGTGCCATGCAGTGCTGCTCTCTTTGGTTTGGATCTGACAAGTCCATGACAACCATGAACACTCAGAGGTTGTGACTACATGCAAAAAAAGAAAAGCATGGGACTAGGAAGGGAAATAAAGAGAAGGGACAGCAGGAGTGGGTGAGAAGGGGGTCAGCAGGAGTGGTAATGGAGAAAAGAGTGAAGTGAAAGAGAATATGGTCACAACCCTTTCTATTCACACACAGAACTGTTAAAAACAGAGAGATTTTCTCCCACTGTGTTCTGTTTCCTTATTCTGATGAACATTTCCTTTGCTTCATGCACATGAACTTCTTGACATACTATTTGTATATGTCACCACGTGAGAAGATTTTACCACTTATCACCACAAAATATACATGTATTTTTGTAGTATCTGTGTTTTGTATAAATGTCACTTGATTTCACCCTGTAGTAAGTTTTAATATAAATGTCTATAAATAATAAAAGTAAGGATAAGTGTACTGCCTATTGTTCTGGGACCCTAAATGAATCCACAAACCATTAAACACAATATGATTTTAGCTCCTGTGTTATTGAAGCAAGAATATCTGAAGACCACATCAAGGAGAGCAGAAATTCATACTTGTCTAGTATTTTCCCATTGCAAATTAGGATACTAGTGACTTTTCATATTGAGCAAGGAGTTAATGATGGAAGTATAAAGTTAAATTAATGGTTTCCACATTGTTCACAAGAATCATGCATGCAAAAATGTACATTTTGCATATTTCTGAGCTAAAGTTCTTCTCATACAAATCATTGTCCAAGGAAAATGTCTGTTTTCTACTGATAATTAAGTGAAGAAGGGCAAACAAGAAATTATTTTTCCTTTGCTGTAAGTGTAGGTTAATGTGACAGGCTCTTGATAGAGGTCCACCTCTGGCAGGACAGTCCTGAATCAAGATTCAGTAGCAGGAAGTAATCGTCAGGAAGAAGGACAACATGGTTCACAGAGACCTGGGCACTGAGAGCTAGAGGTGAGTACAGCAGGGGATCCTCCTGCCAGTCTCCCCAATGTTTTTCACAGTTCTTAAGAGTTTATGAAAAGTGAAAGAGAAAGGAATCACAAAAATGAGAACTTATCATTGCCCAATTACCTTCGCCAAAACTTTCATCTGAGTTTAAGGTAAGTGGTTCATGTCTGTGTTTAGAGAAATGGTCAGATTTTTTCTAGATGAAAAGTTCTAATTAGCTATATGATGATGAACATAATATATGAAGTAACTCAATCAGGTAAAAATGCAATGGCTCGGATCTGTACCTGATGTTCACATTTCTCAGTGAAAGCAGAAAGATTGGAAAGTGTATGGATCACCAAGTGTGGCCTTACCTCTCTTGTGGTTCTTCTAATCCAAAACACTGTCCTATTCAGAATAC